TCCCCCCCCCCCCCCCCGCCCCTGCGCTTGGCTAACTGCAGGGAAGGATTTCTTATCAGCCACAGGCAAACAGCCCAGTAGGAACGGCCACCTCTGTCCCCTTAATTAAGTTCCCGTATTTCAAGCAGGTTACCATGAGCGATATCACTCTCCTGAGGATTACACAGCGAGATAAAGAACGGATGTTGCTTGAATGCCAGCAAACACCGGGACCATACGCTGCCAGGCTTTGTCAGGCAATGATACCAGATTACTTGCTGCAAGCATGGCGTGGACAAGTGTCCTACCATGGAGGACGGAATAAAGCGGCACTGCCCAGAAACCTTGTGGCAAGGCTTTTGGAGTACCTCCAGGAGAGCTTCATGGAGATGTCCCTGGAGGATTTCCGCTCCATCCCCAGACACGTTAACAGACTTTTCCAGTAGCTGTACTGGCTGCGAATGCATCCCAAGTCCTCAGGGCAAAATAATCATTAAAAAACCTTGCTTTTGAACCATGTTTTATATTTTAAAAGGTAAACTCACCTGAGGTCCCTTCCATGGGGTCATGGTCTTGGCTACTGGCTTGGGAGGCTTGGGAGGGTACTTCAGTCAGGCTGAGAAAAAGCTCCTGGCTGTTGGGGAGAACGGAGTGCTGGGTGCTCTCTGCAAGATCCTGATCTTCCTCCTCCTCCTCCTCCTTCTCCTCCTCTTCCCCACCCTCAGAATCCTCAGGTGTAGAGACTATCCCAGACCCGGTTTGCATGATCACAGGTGGGGTAGTGGTGGCGGCCCCCCCTAGAATTGCATTCAGCTCTGCGTAGAAGCGGCATGTCCGCGGCTCTGACCCGGAGCGACAGTTTGCCTCCTTTGTTTTTTGATAGGCTTGTCTGAGCTCCTTCACTTTCACGTGGCACTGATCTGAGTCTCTATTGTGGCCTCTCTCCATCATGCCCTTGGAGATTTTTTCAAAAGTTTTGGCATTTCGTCTCTTTGAACGAAGTTCTGCTAGCACTGAATCCTCACCCCATACAGCGATCAGATCCAGTACCTCCCGTGTGGTCCATGCTGGTGCTCTTTTTCGATTATCAGCCTGCATGGTTACCTGTGCTGATGAGCTGAGGTATCTGTGGTATCTGTGGTCACCTGTGCTCTCCACGCTGAGCAAACAGGAAACAGGAAATGCAATTCAAATTTTCCTGGGTCTTTTCCTGTCTACCTGGCCAGTGCATGCGAGTTCAGATTGCTGTCCAGAGCGGTCAGTGGTGCACTGTGGGATAGCTCCCGGAGGCCAATACCATCGATTTGTGGCCACACTAACCCTAATTCGGATTAACAAAATCGATTTTGACGTTACTCCGTTCGTCGAGGTGGAGTACAGAAATCGATTTAAAGGGCCCTTTAATTCGAATTAACTGGCTCTGTAGTGTGGACGGGTGAAGGGTTAATTCGGATTAACGCTGCTTAATCCGAATTAAAGTCCTAGTGTAGACCAGGCCTTAGATTGACGCTCCCCCCAGTGTAGACCAGCCCTAAGAGACTGACCTACAGAGGTCACAGCAGAGAGGTAGGTGACACAAAAAGTGGCAAGGAGGCAGCAAGGAACAGAGGATGGCAGGGCAGCCAGGCAGTAAGGAACAGCAGCTGGCAGGGTGGCCAACCAGAACAGGTGCTCACATGGCAGTACAAGTCAGGTGTCTTCTTCCCTGGGTGGGAGGTGAACTCACACAGATGCACTTCTGAACCCTGGGTCCTCACTGACCAAGGACAACCACTCTGAGTGGGGGAACAGAGAGGGGCACAGTAAAGGAACTTTTGGTTGTAGAACTCAAGAACAAGAGGCAGAAAACTCTGCCCCATGCACTCAGGGGTGGGTGTCCTGCTCGCAGTTTTATGTTTATGTTATTCTGATGCTCTCACTCCTTCTTTTCCTTAGACTAATGAAATCTCTCATTCTATGATCACTTTCACACAAATTGCCCTCCACCTTCAAATCCACAACCAATTCCTCCCTGTTGGTCAGAATCAAATCTAAAATGGCCGTCCTTGACTTTTTGAAACAAACAGTTGACCCCAATACCTTCCAATATTGGAAATTTTGCAATATTACTTTTCCAACAGATGGCTGGGTAGTTAAAGTCTCCCATTACTACCAGGTCTTGTTTTGGATATTTTTGTTATTTGTTCTAGAAATGCCTCTTTCACCGCCTCTTCCTGATTTGGTGGTCTGTGGTAGACCCCCCTACCATGATGTCACCCCTATTTTTCCTTTTATTTTTACTCAGAGACTTTCAACTGGCCTGCCACTCATCACTTTTAACCAGTTGGTTTCACAGTTAATAATAAATGTGTATTTGATTTGCTTTTCATACAATCTATCTCAAAAATTGAATTCTGACTGTGGTTTCCCCCATGGCTTTCAAAATGTAGTATCTACTTGGTTGCTTCCCCCATCTCTCCGCAGGGTTTTTTCTTTCCATCTTCCCTGCTGCTTGTACACCCTGGGGACGGAGCTCCCAATAGCAGGTTGTAAGCCTGCCTCAGTGGAAAATGAGAAGCATGTGCATAGGGGTGTAGCACTACAGGGATTTTAAATTTTTGTGCCCAGATGCAGAATACCTTGCAAAATACCTGCTTTCTGCCTGCTGATCCTGGTCCTGTTGACTTATACACATGGAACCACCTATGCCTACAGGAGACGAAGAGACGCTGTAATGAACCCAGAATTACTTGCCAGTTTACCTTATCCTCACTGAAGTGATTGACAAAAGGGAAAGCTGAACTGGTGGAAAAGTGAGAAGCAAAGACGAAGACACCCAGACCTACCATGCTTGGATGCTGTATACTTTAAAAAAAAAAAATTCTGAAAAGTTGACAGGTCTGTACCTTTTGCTTAAGACTATCAACTTGCTCTGTATATTATTATAAAAATACCACTATACATAGTCTTGCATTGAAGGAAAACAAGTAGTTTCCCTCCACAGTGGTAATTTAATATTTTTCTAGTGTTGGGTGCATTTTCAGCTCAGCCATAGGTTTGAAAGGCAGAAGCACCCATCCTTATGTGGCTTTTTGGTGGGTGTAATTGAGCTGGACAATTCATTCTATACTTGTGTGTGTATAATAGAATTGTGATAGTTTGAACAAGGTGAGTTTTTAAAATATCCTAAACATGTCATTGTGGTTGAACTACTGGATCAGGACTGTGGATCTGGGTTCAATTCTCAGATCTACCACTTCTTTTGTAACCTTAAGCAGGTTAGTTAATCGCTCTGTGGCTCAGTTGTAAAACTAGGATAATACTTTCTTTCCTCAGGGGGTTTTGTGAGGACAAATTGTTTGTGATGTGCAAAGATACTAGTGTTGGAGACCATAAGTGCCCAGATAAACTCTATGGAATATACAGGGCTACCTAAGTTTTTTAGTGCACATATTTGCTTATGCAATAGTCTTGAGGGCCTGAGAAATCCATAAAAAGCCTGAGTTTGCCAGGTCCGTGAACATGATTAAAGCCTTCTTCAGTGAGAGTTAATAACAGCCTATTAATGCTTAGTGAAGTCAGTCAGTTAATAGGTTGTCATTAGCTCACTGAATGAGGCTGCTGATGGACTTTAAAGACCTAGTTTCTGCCATGACATCTGCTTCCAAATGGATAGAGCGACATTATTTTTGTGGGGGCCTCCAATCAAAAGCAGGGCTCCAAGCTGCCATAAGGAAGTGATGCATGGCTGCCCACCTGTTCTGTATTTTGAGAAATGCCTTTTATTTGATGCCTAATGGTCCATGACCCATTTCCAATAAGGAACTACCACAAAACACTGAATCAGATAAAATGTGTTTTCAAGCAATAATTATGCCAACAATCAGACCCTTTGACATAAATTAATTATTTTGTACTGTGTAAACTTTTGTTCCATGAATAAAAATATTGTGGCCTGGTGTCCTTTAACAATTACTTTTGCCTGACATTTTTCATGGAGCAGTCCTTTATTTTCTTAACAAACTGGTACCACCCCACTCCTTGTGAGTGACAATCAGACTTCATGCTTCCTTTCCCCCCTGCTCCCGTTGCGAAGTAGAGGTGAATAGGATGCTCTAGTAATATGTTGCTTCTTCCATTTTCAGTGCCTTTGCTGAAGTGGGTTGGAGGTTGGGAAGATACGATGGTAAGTTGTTTCCTTATCCTTGGTCCCTTTACGGGGCTGCCATGGGCAGATGCAGTGCTCAGTTGTTTCCTTCTCCTTGGCCCCATGGCTGGCTGGGGGTTGGAGTGGGCAAACACCTAGAAGATAATAAGGTGATAAATAACAGTCAGTGTGGATTTGTCAAGAATAAATCGTGTCAAACCAACCTGATAGCTTTCTTTGACAGGGTAACAAGCCTTGTGGATAGGGGGGAAGCAGTAGATGTGGTATATCTTGACTTTAGTAAGGCTTTTGATACTGTCTCACATGACCTTCTCATAAACAAACTAGGGAAATACAACCTAGATGGAGCTACTATAAGGTGGGTGCATAACTGGTTGGAAAATCGTTCCCAGAGAGTAATTATCAATGGTTCACATTCGTGCTGGAAGGGCATAATGAGTGGGGTCCCGCAGGGATTGGTTCTGGGTCCAGTTCTGTTCAATACCTTCATCAGTGATTTAGATAATGGCATAGAGAGTACACTTATAAAGTTTGTGGATGATACTAAGCTGGGAGGGGTTGCAAGTGCTTTGGAGGATAGGATTAAAATTCAAAATGATCTGGACAAACTGGAGAAATGGTCCGAAGTAAATAGGATGAAATTCAATAAGGACAAATACAAAGTACTGCACTTAAGAAGGAACAATTAGTTGCATACATACAAAATGGGAAATGACTACCTAGGAAGGAGTACTGCGGAAAGGGATCTGGGTGTCATAGTGGATCACAAGCTAAATATGAGTCAATAGTTTTCAAGTATATAGAAGACTGTTACAAGGAGGAGGGAGAAAAATTGTTCTTAACCTCTGAGGATAGGACAAGACGCAATGGGCTTAAACTGCAGCAAGCGCGGTTTAGGTTGGACATTAGGAAAAATTTCCTAACTGTCAGGGTGGTTAAGCACTGGAATAAATTGCCTAGGGAGGTTGTGGAATCTCCATCATTGGGGATTTTTAAGAGCAGGTTGGACAAACACCTGTCAGGGGTGGTCTAGAGAATACTTAGTCCTGCCTTGAGTGCAAGGGACTGGACTAGATGACTTCTCGAGGTCCCTTCCAGTTCTATGATATCCTAGTGAGTTGTTTCCTCCTTTGCCCCCTCACAGGGTGGGTGTGTCAGTAGCCAGCCTGTCTTCCCCCACCCCCCGGGATACCCTGCTGGTCCAGAGGGTGAGCCCGGGAGTTGCTGAGGCGCTCTGAGGCCCCAAGTAGATACTGGCTATGGCCCTATTTTCCTCTACCCCACCCCCATCACACTGCGGTCCTCAGCCTCCTCCATGCCTCTGAAGTCTGAGCCGCAACAGGGCTGGGGCCTCCCCCTGCTGCCTGAGGCCCCGGTTCACGTTACTGCAGCCCCTCAGGGAACGGAGCAAATCCCTCTCGGCCGCTGCTGGGGGGAGGCTGCCCAGCAAGGATTTCCTTAGACACCCCCCCGAATTTCCCCAACACCCCCCAGTTACATGCAGTGTTGCCAATTTAGTCATTGGTTGGAAATTTGAATTGAAATTGAAACATTAATACACACTTTAAAAGCATATGCAGTATATGAGAAAATACTTGTACCTGAGAAAGCATAATGGGTTTGAAAAGTATGAACAAAGACTAGCTTCCTCATACAGCTGTTATTTATGACAATGTCGGCACATTTGTTTTGGCTATACTGGCCTACCTAATAATTTCAAATTATTATTTATAAGCAAGGTCTGAATGAGCTCTCCCCTGACAGCTAATGATGAGCCAGTGGTGGGTGGAAAGGCTTCAGGACCAGACTGTGTTTACATGAACACACCTACTCTGCCTAGGTATCCAGCAGACAGAGCTATGCTGCCCAAGTGATCAATTTTGGCTGGGGTTGGGTTACAAATCACTTAAGTATTAAATGTGTGAGTCATGAAATGTTGTTATCCTTATTGTATGAGTAAAGGGCAGCAAACTGTACTTAGCCTGACTGAATGAGGGGGTCTCCCTCAGTGCTTAATTTGTGCTAGGGCTTGCCAGGGCAGAGCCTCAGCACCTCTAGGCTTGGCAGTTCATAGTTCTGGGACCTCTGGGCTTGTCACATCAGTTATGAAAGTAACAAACTTGCTTGAGCCCCAGCACCTCTTTCATTACAAATTAAGCACTGGTCATCCTCAACTGAACTGCACTTGCTAAGCAGGAGAGTTGGATGCTATATCCTAGTGAAGAGAGAGAGGGTAGGGCACAGGTGTTTTGCTTGGTGGTGTGGGCTCTGCCAAAGAGTCACAGGCACTATTTGACCTGCCCCTCTCTCCTGTTTAGAGAGAGAGATGATTAGGCTCCATAGAGTCTTTTGGTTTGTTAAGTGACCACCAGAGCTGAAATTACTGATAATCAGGTCTAAGTGCTTAGACCTGCTGTGGGACAGTGTTTCTGTGGAAGAGACAGCCCAGCCTGAACTAGCAGTGAGGTTCCCCCAGTGAGAGCTGAAATCACTGAGAGCTGGATGGAACCGCGAGAGACCGACTCACAGAGGTCACAGTGGCAGGTGGCAGCAGAAGGTGACAGTGCAGGGACATTGGGGACAGAGCGGTAAAGTGAACGGTGGCACAACAAATAACAGCGGTCAGAGCATTGGACTATGTTTTAGTGACTTCGCTCCAGAATGCTAGATTTGTGACTGGTAAACTTATATAAATATACATTTCCTAGTAGGCCAAGATTTTTAAAATGCATTATTTGCCAAGGTCATTATCTCACATCATTGCTATCTCAAGAGGTCATTATCTTGGGGAGTTTCTGTACTAAACTTTATTATTATTATTATTTTTTATGTGAGAACGGCCATATTGGGTCAGACCAATGGTCCATCTATCCCAGTATCCTGTCTTCCAACAGTGACTATTCCAGGTGCTTCAGAGGGAATGAACAGAATAGGGAATCACCGAGTGATACATCCCCTAAAAGACTGAAGTCTTGGAAACAAATAGAAGATACACTGGGACTGAAGTTCAAACCTTGGAAAACCTGCCGGCTTTCTCATGAGCAATTCTTGGCTGTTGTCTTAAAATTACTGCAATCATTATTACTGGCTTTGGAAAGTATCCACCAAGATAGGACAGATCTAAGTAATGAGAATGGTGGACTACTTTTTTTTACTTAGTTCAGAGAAGACTATCACCATTCTCTCTCTTGTAAGTCTATTGTTGAAACCACTTGGGTCATTAAACAATGTCATCCAGGCATCTGCTACAACAGTAGTAGATCTTTGTCAAGCAATAGAAACTACCCTTGGATCAATCAGAGATATCCATTGAAAATGTACTAGAAGAAGCAAAGATTTCAGTCCAGAAGTAAACTAATGAAGGTCCTTAAGCGAAGAGGACAAGAAGTGTTTGTTAAGCCAGCTGAAAAAGTACACAGACTTGATTCTTACAAATCTACAATAGCTATTTCTGGATTCTACTCAACCTCTACATAGCTTTTACAGATGCCTGTCTTATAACTACAGTTGAGTGGAGTGAGGCACTACCAGCCATGGGGCTATGATGTGATCAGGACAGAATAGAAAATTTTGAACACAGAGTGGAATATCATATGACAAACAAATGAAGATTTAACTTCAACTTCTTTATCATCACTAGTGGTTCAACCTAATTTTTGTGCTATTTTTCCTGGGACGAAAGAAGTAGAAATTCATCTCTTGCTGCTCCCAGTCACAACAGCTACAGTTGAGAGTTCTTTTTCCTCATTGAATAGAATTTTGTGTTCTGAAAGAAGTTGCCTTCTGCCTGATCATGAACATATCATGAAGGACTGGAAGTGACGGGCACACAAGAAGACACCAAAGAATTGTGCAAAATTCCAACAAGAAACCAAGATGGATGTAGATGTCATGCTTCACAGTAGGCTTGAGTAGCCAACTTTAATTTTTGTGATGATTTTAAAACATGAGTTAAATCTCATAAAATGGTCGTGAAACATTTTTCAGTTTTTACTATGGTGCCATACAGCCCACCTTCACCCTCATGGTCTCAACCCTCCTCGGCCCTGACCCTCCCCCCCAATATTCCATCCCCCCTTCCCATTACAATTCCTGGGGAAAACACTGCCGCCCGGGCTGTAGGGGCCAGGCCCGGCTGCAGCTCCGGGGCTGGGTTACCTCAAGTTTCCCACCTGTTGGCTGGGCGCTCTCGCGGCCTCGCCGGGCAAAGGGAAGCCCAGTCGGCAGCTGAGGGGCAAAGGGCAGGGGCCGGGGCCGGCTCTCTGCCGGCGCACGCGCCCCAGGCCCGCCCAGAGCGCTGTGCCTTGGGTAGTGGAGGCGGGAGGATGCGGGTTACCGGCTTGGCCCGCGGCAGACACCGCCCTCTCCCCCATGCTTGTGACGCGTGGCGCCGCCTCCCGCTCCTCCTATAAGTGCCGGGCTGCGGCGCCCCCTCCTCTTCTTTCCTGTCTGCTCGGCGTTGTTGCGCGTGTCCCTGCCCGGCTGGCCGCCACCACCCCGCTCTGCCCGGCTCGCTCCCTTCGCGCTCCCGGCCTGCCCGTCTCTCCGCGCCCGTGCCCCGCCGTCCCAGCGCTGCCCTGCGCTCCCCCCGCCGGCCGCCCCCGCAGCCTATGGCCCTGGAGGGCGCCGCTGCCGCCGCCTGTATTTCTGCTGTAGGTTCCCACATCCCTCTTTAAAAATTCCGCCTAAAAAGCGAAGACGATTTACCAAATCCTTCGGGCCGTTGTCGCACGTGAGTACCCGGGCTGGGGGCAGGGCGGAGGGAGACCCCCCACCCCCGGGGACACGGCGTGGGGGGGGGTGCAGGCCGACCCCCTGCCCTCCGGCACTGCGCATTGCCGCGCAGGGGCCGGTGGGGGAGATACCCCCAAATGCTGGTACATCCCTTTTTAGTATGGCCACGGGGTGGGGGTGGAAAGCGAGAGCCCCAAACCCCCGGGCACTGTGGCGAGCAGAGACCCCCACGCCTCCAACCCTGGCAGCTGCGAAGCAGACGCTCTCCCAAGCCTGGGACTTGTGGGGGGTGGGACGGGCCCAGCCGGGCTCTGCGGGCTTTTGGTTCCAGACCTCCCGGCTGGTGGAGGGCAAGTTCCTAGGGCTTCGCAGGCTCCAGCCCCCCAGAAACAGCGGGGGCTGTTTGTCCCCTTCCCCGCATGAAGGGGGGTCGGGGGATCCAAGCACCGCTTCTATCCTCAGGAGGGATCCGCGGACCTCCGGCCACCCCCGCGCCGAGCAGCGGCTGTGGGAGGCGTGAGCTGCAGGTTCTCGGCAGCAGTGGCGGGTTGGGGGAGCCGTGGGCAGCACCCCTTCCCAGCAGCGGTAGTCGGGAAGAAGGGGATGAGTCAGATTTGTCCCCCTCCCCCGGTACGCATTGCTGCGGCTCTCTGCCGCTGAATGCGGGGCTGGCGTGTCCTCCCGGAGCGGGCCAGGAGTGAGGTGCTGTTGCACATTTAGCAAGGGAATGTGTGTGTGGAGGGTGCTCAGCAGCCGCTTCTCGAACATGGCGGACACCCGTGTGTGTGTGGGGGGGGAGAGCGGGGATCTAGGGGCTGCTGTACGGTGGCTGATGTATCTGTTCGGGGAGGGGGGGGAGAGGAGACTAGCCACAGACCCAAATGTGACTATGTAAGGGGGCTCAGCAGCTGCTCTAACATGGCGGATTCCTGTGGAGGGGGTTGGGTGGCTGTGTGTGATGTGTCTCAGTCTGAAGTGGGTCAGTTAGCAGTAATAGCGGACTCCTCCTCCAGCTGCTTCTGCGTTGCTCGATGCCCTTTTTTTGGGGGTGGGGGAGGAGAGGGGAGTCTCTTGACCTGGCTACTTAAGAACAGTGAAAAGACCCCTCCCCATCTCCCCCCAGGAATAGTCCTTGTAGCAGGAGCTGTTTCATCATCACTTCCCCTTGTCAGAGCTGCCCTGGCTCAGTAGTGTTGTTTCCCTCCCATGTGGGTTTTCACTGATTCTCTTTACAGTTAGTAAACTGACACTCAGAATGCCATTTTGGGGGGCATAGGGAAATAGGTTTGTAACTAGATGTTTTGATCAGTAAAGAAGGCCTGACTAGACAGGAGAGGAGGACAAGGGAGCAGAAGAGGGTGTTTGTAGCATGGCAAAGACTCTTCTCTTGTTTCTCAGAGGCCATGTTGTATGTCTGTGTAACTGTGACTATCCATCCGGGTTCTGTTGTGGTGTCACATCTCTTTTCCTATCCCCATCACTTGAGCCATGTTGTGGGTGCTGGCAGTTGGTAACCCCCAATGAGATCTTTATGCTCTGCCTTTGTTAATGGGGTTCGTGACCGGGGCATGTGTGAAGCTCATGTGGCAGCAGTGGGAGGAGTAGGGGTTGAGGATATTGCACAAGTGGCCTGCTCTAGCCCTCACCTGGGGGTCTTAATGTCTTGGGCACATTGACTTAATGCTGATATGCCAGTGGGTAAAGAATGCTCTTCCGTACCCCCTCTATCCTGCTTAGCAATCATGCTCAACCTCAGACACAATCTCTCCTTCCCTTGTTGCCTCAAGGACACACACACATTCTCCCCTCCCCTCCACCAGTCTGTCAGGCTAACAGTAACCGGGTTGCTGCTGCCCACCAGTTCTTTTGGAAGTGTCTCGGTTAAGCCCATTTTTCACTGTTTTGGCTGCCTTGGGAGTCCTTTTGGTCTGATTGGTTATGTCCTTCTCGGTCACAGTGGTGGCCTGTGGAAAGTGTATGAAGGAGGACTGAGTCACTACTCAGCGGCTGTTAGAATGTGTACAAAGGGGGTCTGGCTGTCAGTGTATTCTCAGAGTGGTGTCAGCTGGGTGTGTTTGTGTCATGGTCCCATCACCTGCTTCATTGGAAGGGGGTGCTAGCAGAGAGAAGAGCCAGATTGTGAAGTGGGGGGTGAGCATGCAAAGGGGAGATGGTGAGGGAACTGTAGGGCTTTTTATACACACATGTAGAGGCAACATGGTGGGGACTGTATTATACTTGCAAGTGTGCGCACACGTGTATGAGGTGATTGGGTTTGGAAGACTCATGTTCTCACTGTTAGCACACTGCCATCCATACAAAATATAAGCTTGGCTGACTCGGTAGTCAGAACAAATGTGTAACTGCAATAAGGGTGGATCCAAATTGTGGATATCAGAGGAAAACAAGTCTAAACCTCTTTCAATCCTTTTTGATATGTATCTTCTGCTGTGCAACATCCTGCACAACCAAGAAGTGACAGTACACAGGAGCAAAAGTTCTGTTACAGCGATTTCCCACTTGCTGCAATTCAGACCCTGTCTACAGCAGTCTCTGGTGGCTCAGCATAGCTTGTTTGGGTAGCCCCAGTGGAATACAGCTGCATTGTGTCAGTAGCTGTGGGAAGTGGCTGTATAACAATTATGAAATGGATTAGCTCTGGCTTTCCTTTCTCTGGGCCTCTACTCAGAGCTCTGACTTGTTCTTTTACACTGCATGCTTATATGTGAGTGGGCTGAAGTGTTGCCCCAATTCTTCTCCCCTCCCCCGAGTTTGTGAGGGCTGCCAGCTCTAGAGATAATGCACTTGCTTGCTGTTCTTCCCTTGGTGAATGTGAGACACAACAGCATTTCAGCCGGTTTTTGTCGTGAATAATGGTGGTGGAAGGGGAGGAGGGGTTTGTTCCAGTCTGGACTGGTCCAGTCTGGTTCTTTCCTTCCTGTCACCATGCGAACAATGCTGCTGCCGTCGCGGCTGCTTGCGACATTGCCTCTCTCTTCCCCCCCCCCCCCATGTGTCTCAGACTGCAGTGAGTGCAAGAGTGAATGCCCCCTCCCTGCTCTGCCTCGTATACACAGAACAGCAATTCTCCCCAAAGCAGCTCCAGCAGGCGTGCTCTTCTGCCCGCCATCTCTCTCTATTTCCCAGCGGGGTGTCAGACAGGCAGCACTGAACTCCAAGTCTGTGGGGAGGAGGGGATTGTGGCTGCTTCTGAGGCTAGGACAGGATTTGGTAGTAACATAGTAATGTAAATGTTTCTCCTCCGGGGGAATCCTTCTGTATTGGAGAAACTGAGCTACAATAAGCTGTACCTCTGGCTGCCCCAGCCTACACTGTAAAATTAAAAGGGGACTGCATACCTTGGCTAGTTTTGAGTCTCAAATATTTTCCTTAGTGGGCTTGATGCTGATGTGAATATTCTGTGTAATAAATTGCACCATTCTTACCATAGAGGGGGATTAGGAGTGTCACCTGGGGGGGGGGGGGGGAAATTAGGGACATTACATTATTTTCATTAAGTATTTATGTAAATAAATGAGCTAATTTACATAAGCCATAAGCTTCAGTTTAAAAGTAATTGTAGATTTAGTGTTGGTGAAGGGAGTCAGATGGATAGCTCTGGCAACAGAAGACACTTTGATCTGCAGGGCAGCAAGGAAGGCAAGCTTCCCACACGCTGTCCTACCAGCATGCCTCAACACTGATCTTGAAAGGATCTAGGGACAACAGGGATAGTTCTGTTTCCATGACCCATGCACTTCATGCTGTCTCTGCTAAGTGTGCCAACTAGTGCTGTGAGTCATATGATTCTGGATTGTAGGGGTTTGGGCCCTGGATATTTTAGTTCAGTGCCTTTAGTTTTTCATAAGATGATATGGACAATGGATGATTTTATAAGTGTTATAAGGCAAAGTACAGCTACTAGGCATTTAGTTGCAAAAAAATTCCTTGACTGAAAACTTGTTCTTTTGGTAAAGACCATTTTTTTTTATTGCCACTTTTGAGACCTTCAGTAAAAATAGGGAAGAATCAAGCATTTCAGTCTGGACATGAGGCAATTCCTTTAATTCATCTATGCTGCCCAGAAGAATTAGGGACGTGGCAACCCTGCTTGAAATGTTAGCATGTAGTACTTGACATTTTGGCACTGTCCTATTTTGATCTGGAAAACTGAACATTTTCATTAAATTCTTTACCTCTTAGAATAAAATTCTTTCAAAAGTCAGACTTCATTAATGCTGTTCTATCCTTTATGGATATTTGATACAGTTAAATACTCGTGCATGAGAAGTGAAATTGTACTTTCTATACATTAGTTGAGATCACTGACAAGGTGTGTGTGTGGGGGAAATCCTGAGTTTAGGACTTAAAATGCTAAAGTAAAATTCCAGTGCATTCCTCTAAAACACAACACAAAGTTATCGCTAGGGAATATTGTCAATTTTTATTCTAGCTCCAAGGAAACTGGCTCTCCTGCTCTCCCCCAGCTCCTTGTGGCATGTGGCAAAATTCATTTTGACTGTACTGCAGATCATATTTGCTTGTATTGTGGCCTTTTACGTACTGCAGTAAAGGTCATCTTTTCTGCTTGCAACACCTGTTTTTAAGAGACTTGTTGTGCTGTAAGTGTTCTCAGTTTGAAAGCAGCATACAGATGTTCACATTTTTGAACAGCATCCAAAAATAGTGTAGATATTTAAACATTTTGCTTTTGTGAAATTAACACTTGATTTTAAAACAAATATTTCGTATGCCAATAGTTTGAGAGGTAATTTTATTGGCTTAGCTTTAATTTAAATAATTGCAATGGAAAAATTAAAGTTAACTGAACATGAAAAGTAACTTTCAGTCAGTCAGCTAGAAGTAAGGAATCCCAATTCATTTTTAACAAGTGTAGTTCAGTTTTAATATTCATAACTGTATTAGTAAATGTTCTATAGTTTGTATTGTAAAAGTAATGACATTTTATTAACGAGATTCCACTACAGCACTGCTGTTATGCCTTTGCTGGGATGGAAAGAAAGATGATATGTTTGGAGTGCAAATTATGTAATGTGAACTAGCATAATTCTCCTGTTTGCTCATTTATCCTGGCCAATACATATATAAGCAACTGCTATGGTTGAAAAGACCATTATGTGATAAAGGATAGCCATTTTTGGTAGCCCATATGTATTCAAATTTTTCAGTTTAATATAGATTTACTTTTATTAAATATCAGTAGTACTCTGTATTTTATACCATGGATTACCACACACTTCTTAATCTCCGCATGTCCCAGGTTTCCAGATGACCTGTTTGCTTACATTGGTTATTGCAATTATTTTAAAATGTGACAGCCACTTTTAGTTTGTACCTGTGAAGAATTCAGTTTGTGTAAGCAGGGCTGGTTTAAACTCCACTGTTACCCATTACAGCACTTTTCGAAATGACTATTGTAATTGAACTCAGGTATATAAACCCCATATTTTAACACCTAAGGGGATGTCTACATAGGGACAGCTAAGAAAATTAAAGGTGTGAATTTGAAGTGTATTAGTAAAACTGCATTAAATTCCTGTGTGGATGCTGTTACTCAGAATGGAAGAGGCCTTAGTTTGGTTTATTTCAATTCACTTTGGAAGTGAATTAAACTAAGCAGGATTAAATTCACTTTCAAGGTGAATTGAAATAAACCAAACTAAGGCCACTTTAATTAAGAATGAATGTGTTCATGCAGTGGTTTAATGCAGTTTAACTATGCCACTTTCACACCTTTAATTTGAATTAATTATCTTTGCTGTCCCTCTGTAGACAAGACTTTAGTTTGACTTTTGGATCTGTATTTAATAGCTTTGCCCTTTAAGGGCCAATTAAATTGCCAGTTTCTTGATGCACAGACTCTGGCCTCCCCATAGCTCAAGGCCCCCAACTTTGCCCCCAGAATACATCCCCAACCACTCTCTGTTATGCGGGTGGGTGGGGAGGAAGTGAGAGCACTGTAGGAGGGCCTAGAAGATATGTACCCACTTGAGGGTGGGGACTGATTAGAGCTGGGTAGGAATTGGGAAAATATGTTTTTGACTCTTTGAGGACTTGTGGTGGATTCAGCATCTCTACTTAGATTAATTAAATGTGGTCTTTGAGAGAGGGACTGCAGGCCCATGAACTATGGGAAGTTCTTCAAAGAGTATCTGTTCTAACAAACCTGTAGTTCATCATAGGTGGGCTATCAGAACAGTGGTGCTCTTTGCACCACTTCTGACTCTGCTAATCCCCTCAAAAATGACTATTAAATTCCATGTGTACCACCTTATGACCATTACAGTCCCATACCCCCTTATGTCACTCCATCCTAAAGCTTAATTCTCCTGTGTACTTCCCACCATCTCCCTCACCCACGGATTGTTATGTTTTGTCCTTGTATCCACTGCCCGTAGTCCCAATTTCAATCATCACACATTGCTTTGACCTCCTGTGCTTCTCAGAGCCCCTTTGGGAGGGGATTGAGGCTCTCCTGAGGAATATGGGAGATGACCACTACTGTAGTGAGACTAGGGTGACCAGATATCAGGATTATCCCTATAAAATTGGGACATTTGGGGCTTTTTCTTTTATAGGCACCTATTAACCCCACCCACTGTCCCGATTTTTCATCCTTGCTATCTGGTCACCCTAAGTGAAACAGTAAGGGGAGGAGGCTCTAGGGAGGCATAAATGTCAAGAGGCCATAAGGTGGATAACATTTATTGATAGTTAAACATGTCACTGATGACAATTTGACTTCCTTATGCTCATTTGTGTGTGCACTCAGCTTTGAAAAACAGGCTCTGTAAATTATTGTTGTAGATTACTATAACAGGAGACAGCAGTCCATATTAAAAGTGCAGTTAAGAACAGAAGTTCCATGTTTGACAGTAAAGTGTTGTTTACTCCTAAGTTATCAATTTTATTTATCTATGTATTTTTCCTACAGGGCAAACTCTCTGATCAGGTTTACAACTATCCAGAAGGCCTAGGAGAAGTGCTTTATAGAGAACAGTTCGACTTCAACGCCGAGCCACCTTGGGAACCTAGCTGATGATAGTAGGGTTCCATCTCCTAACTTGTCCATGTAAGTCTTTTTTTACAGTTACGTAAGCAAGGAAACAACTTAGAGAAATGTGTAGGACACATCTATTCTCTTTTATAGATCCAGATACCTTGATAAATATTTAATTTACTTTGTTACAAGAGTTTTTAGTGGGTGGAGAAATGTATGGAATCTTGGGCTATGAATCAGGAAAGCACTTAAATTTGTGCTGAAGTCTCTCCCTATTCAGGAAGAATGCTTAAGCATGTGTTTAAGTCCCACTGAAGTCAGATGCTTAAATGCTTTCCTGAATCACAGGAAATTTTTAAAATAAAATGCTATGTTCATTTCCAATCTGTTTGACAATTGTAGTTCCATTGTGCTAAGTTGGAGATCATAGCTATTTAGAATGTTAAATTATAATGTTTGGCACAGCACTATATGTTTTTAATGTTTTATATCTAAATAGTTAAATCGGCTATTGTAAACAGTCAGTATGAATATTGCTCTAGAAGGGTGTGCCTCCCCAAAAAGTCTGTCTGCATTATTTGCTAATTACCTTGCTACTTCCACAAATAGTTATAGTTCAATTAGAGTAGAATCTTGAATTCTGTGCTGGACAGACATTATGTACAAATTATAAACAGACTTAAAATTACAGTGGCAGGCTATGAAAGAAAGCAAAGACTTTGCTCTCCGATAATGAATGTCCATACCAGATCTTCCAATTCCATTACACTTTAATCTTAAGTCATCAGAAGTGCATTAGTGACGAAATGTTCAGGTTTTAGTTATTGTAATTTTCTTAAAGTTGAAAAACCTAATTTCTTGGAAATCTAGAACTTATGCCAGTCATTTTTGAATCAACTTGTTGTTTTTTTCCCCCCAATGGCGGCCTTTAACTTGCAAGATCTTGCTCAGTATTTTGCACTTGTGTAGTCCCCTTTTGTATAATATTGTAAAACAATTGCTTAAGACGGCTTTCATAAGTCTTACTGTTTGTATAAGTGTAACCCTAAAAGTTAAGATGGTTTGATATTCTATACATGGTACCTTTATTTTTTTTCCCTCAATTTGGCTCAAAGCAATATGCTGTATTGGTTTATTTGCTAATTGCTGTATAACTCTTAAGGGTGAGATTTCCAAAAGCACCCAAGCGAGTTAGGAACACTCAAGTGCTTTTGAAATCACCCCTTAGAGTTAAATGAGATACCAAAGTGACTGGTATTTATAATACAAATTGAATCCTTTATTAAAAAACACTTTGGTGGGAGAGGTTGGGGGAACGACTTGGCTGATCGTGACTCATAGCTTTGTTTTGTTGGGGTTATTTTTCTTCAAGCTTATAAGAAAATTGTTTTGAATGAATCTAAATATGCTTACTTTTATGCTCCCCTTCTGAGAGAATGCTTCTCAAATTGAAAACTGCCTGGAAATCTCTTGCTTGCTGTTTTGCAGATAACACCTATGATTACTGTAATGAAAGAGGTTTCTTTTCAGGGGTTTTTTCCCACTTTGAGTTTGACTGCACTTTGTACATGGTCAGTTCTCCTTGACAGATGGGCCTTTCACAGAAATAGGGGATAAAGGAAGTACATTTAAAATGATAGGAAAATGTCACTGCAGAATCAGAAGAATTGTCAGAGGGACTTGGGGGCGGGTGTAGTATACAATTTTAAATTCATTTTGAAAACTGGATAGATACATATCCCTTTAAGTTGATCAGTTACAAAAGCTACTAGCCAAAATGTTTTAATGTTTAAGCCTCCTAATTCTTTTTTTACTGGTGAATTAGCAGACATGGCATAGGGAATAGTGAAAATTGGTTTATCATAGAGCTTAAGAGGAACAAACTAGGTGTGTCCCTGGATGTATTGTTTATAGCGATGTCTGTTTTGTGGTAGGAGCTGTTACTCTTCAAGTAGTATGATTACACGAGTTTAAGCTTAATTTGCTAGTGATGCAAGCAACGGCACACAAGTGTTAATCAGCCAATATACGCACATCTTGGGTGTGCTGAAGCACAGCAGTCCCTCAAACACAGCCAAGATATGCTTAAATTAGCTGATTAATGTGCACCTTGGGAGTTTGTTCCACTTATAAAATGGTTTATTGAGGAAAAAGTCAATTAAGCATTTAAGCATAATTATTAATCTGTGTCATACAGACACTCATAAAAATCTGCTTATGTCTGAGGGTGTGTTTATGTTCCCATTAAACCTGCTTCGCTCCCGTTTTTCTTCCTTCTCTCCCAGCTGATGGTGGCAAAGGAGGACCTGCTTGAGCTGTTTTCCTTTGAAACTACTATGATCCCATTCTCTTGCTTAGCTTTGCCTTGGTCTTTCAAGCCATGCTCCTGCTGAACAGCATATCTGGGCTAGCAAATGTGGTTTGATCTACTGTAGAAAATCTGCTTTGTTTGCTGCCAGATCCAGCTGAATGGAGAGATGAAGGGAATTAGTAGGCAGTGGGGAAGCCATTTAACTTTTAGCCAGACCCACCTCTGTCAGGTGAAAGAAGCAGTGGTTCAAAAAGCTGTCTGAATTTTACAGCTCTTGCCTTCTCCGATCCCATCAACCACTTTTAATAAGATAATTTAAAATTAAAGATTATTCAATTTAAATCTTACATTTTCATATGAATAATTTTTAAAAGTGCTTGGCTATTACAGCGATCTTGTTGAAGAAACTTTGTAGTCCTGATGTGAATTGAAACATGTAATTTTCTCCCAATGAAGTCTCTTCTCCCACTCAGACTGCAGCTTTCATCCAAGCCATTTTTATAATCTTTTAAAAATGCAACCTTAGAATTGATTTTAAACCCTAGACTAAAGGCTTTCAATGGATACTACTTAAGTTAAATAACACATGTAATAATGCATAATGACTGAGTGCACTTGGTTAAATTTATAAGGTCTATCTCATGTACTTATATGGTTCCCATTACTGTAGTATCTGAGCACCTCTCAATCTTCACTAAATTTTAGTGGCCAAAGAATTATGGGAGAAACTTGGGCAAAACGTAAACAATTGATTTAACCTAAGCTTTGGATATTTGAAAGTCTTGGGTTCTTCAGTTACTGTTCAGAAATCCCTATGCAGCTATTGACTTTAAATCCTGATTGTAGTTTTGCCCAGTGAGCAGAGCTGAAACCACTTAACGAGTTTATTCCTTTAAGTTCTTGCAGTCAGATTTTTTTCTTATAATGATGCATAATGGATGTAGTCACTTACGATTTATTAGATAGTCGAGTGTAAGTTTTACTATATGTATGGTCCATAAGAACTGATCTGTAGTAAGGTTATTTTTGGCTTCACTCCTCACCTGCCCAGTTGTAGAGCTACAGTTCTACTGCAAAACCAGAAAACGAACTGAGCTAAACATAAACACATCAGCTCAGCGTTCCCACTGATTAGACTACTGAGGAAAGGGTAATCAGGGAGTAATTTTGCCAGCAGATGTTGTGAGAAGGGGACCGGGGGGGGGGGGGGGGGAAAGAGGAGGAATCAGACTTCTATAACTTTCCAGAAACCTGTGGGACCAGTGGTTTCTATTAACCTCAGATTTTTTGATATTGGTGACATCCCAGAGTGAAGTATTCCTATAGACTTTAAGGCCAGAAGTGACCATCATGTTTGTCTAACCTGACCTCCTGCTCATCGCAGGCCACAGAACCTCACCCACCCACTCCAGTAACTCAGCCAGAGGTTATGGGGCTTTATAGAAATTCACATCTTGATTTAAAGATTTCAAGTTACAGAGAATCAACCATTTAATCTAGTTCAAACCAAGAAGTGACCTGTGCCCCATGCTGCAGAGGAACTTGAACCCCCCCAATCACACATACCCAACCCCCAGGTCTCTGCTAGTCTGACTAGGGATGGGGGGGATTCCTTCCTGTCCCTGAATATGGTGATCATAAGACCCTGAGCATATGTGAGACCCACTAGCCAGATACCTGGGAAAGAATATTCTCTCGTAATTCAGAGCCTTTGCCATCTAATGTCCCATCTCCGGCCAATGGAGATATTTGCTACTAGCAGTCTTGGATGGGCCAAGTGCCATTGCGGGCAACTTCATCTTGCCATTCCCTTCATAAACTTAGCAAGCTTAGTATTGAAATAAGTTAGGTTTTTTTGCTCCTGCTGCTCCCCTTGGAAAGCTGTTCTAGAGCTGCACTCCTCTGCTCATTAGAAACCTTTGTCTAATTTCAGTCCTAAACTTGTTGATGGCCAGTTTATATCTATTTGTTCTTATGCCAACATTGGCCCTTAACTTAAATAACTCTTCTCCCTTGCTGATGTTTATCCCTCTGATGTATTTATAGAAAGCAATCATATCTCCTCTCAGCCTTCATTTTGTTAAGGACCATAACTTGTTTAGCCTAAGTCTCCTCTTGTGAAGTAGGTTCTTCATTCCCATGGTCATCCTAGTAGCCCTTTTCTGCACCTGTTCCAATTTGAATTAATCTTTCTTAAACATGGGAGACCAGAATTGCACACAGTATTTCCGGATTAGGTCTCATCAGTGCCTTGTATAATGATAACACTTTCCTGTCTCCTCTGGAAATACCGCTCCTGATGCATCCTAGGAGCATATTAGTTTTTTTCACAACTGCATCACATTGGTGGCTCGTAGTCATTCTGTGATTGACCAATACACCCAGGTCTTTCTCCTTCTCTTCCTCCTCCTCCTGTCTCTTTGGACTAATATGTCCCCAGCTTATAGAAAAATTCTTGTTAGCCATAAGTGCATGACCTTTCACTTTGCACTATTAAATATCACCCCATTTCTATTACTCCAGTTTTCAAGATTATCCAAACCATCCTGTATGATATTCCAGTTTTCCTCTATATTGGCAATACCTCCCAACTGTCTCATCCGCAAATTTTATTAGCACACTCCCAATTTTTGTTGCAAGGACATGAATTAAAATGTTTATAGGATTTGGTCCCAAGATAGTTCCTTGAGGAATTCCACTAGTAACCTCCCTCCAGCTTGACATTTCACCTTTCTGCATGATCCATTGTAGTCTCCCCTTT